TCGACGATTCCGGGGATTACGTTCACACTCGAAAAGGAAATCGACAGTAAACTGCCTTTCCTGGATGTTCTCGTACAACGGAAGACTGACGGAACACTACGTACATCAGTTTACCGCAAAGACACTTACGCGGAAATCATTCTACCTTACGAGAGCAATCAGCCAATTTCTCACAAACGGGGTGCTGTCAAAAGTCTGCTTAATCGGGCAAAAACACATTGCTCTGATGAAGAAGGCTATCAAGACGAACTAAAATTCTTGTGTGAATTGTTTTCGCGGAATGGGTACCCTAGAGATTTTGTGCGTCGATGTATGAGGCAGAAAGAGTCGAAGAGAAAGGAGCCAGATAGTCCAAATCAGACGGCCGAACCAAAAACTTGGCGAACACTTCCTTACATTAAAAATGTGTCTGAACTCGTTGAAAGACACTTAAGGAAACACCAAATTCAGGTGGCGCACCGACCGACGACTACTTTGCGCACTCAGCTCGTGCACCCTAAAGATAGGGTCAACTATCTGGACAAAAAAGAAGTCGTTTACAAGATCCCTTGTGAAGCGTGTGATGCCGTCTATTGTGGCCAGACTGGAAAATGCGCCTCTACACGCATCCACGAACACCAGTTGGCAGTGAAGAGGCGAGACCATCTGTCTCAAGTGGCCATGCACACCCTGGACACCGGGCACACTTTCGCTTGGGAGAAAACTCGCATTGTCGCTGTGTGCCCCTCAAAGAAAGGCCGAGAGTTCCTTGAGGCCATGCACTCAGACGAATCATGCATCAACCGGCACATCGAGTTGGATGCCGCGTACAGAAATCTCAAGGAGAGATGGAAGAGGCGTGGACCAATCAGAACGGACTGACACACACGACGGCCGCTTACTGGCGTGAGCGTCAAACGATTATCGATTTTTTACGTGCACTTAAGATGTTAGCTGTTTTGGCGCATTTGCTTTCCGTCTGTGCCTGACGACGACTCGGGGAACCGGCGTCGAAAATTTGCATAATAAACTTCCTTTCCCAAAGCACACATCCGACTTCGAATTATATTTCTTGGGATGCCTACCTTCCAATATATATATATATAAATCAGGAATGGGCGCTCACCGATCTATTGGCTTCACAAAGCAAACAAGCTCCGTATGTGTGGCAAAGGTCACGAACAGGCAACCAAGATATATATATATAGATATATATATATAATGGTAGGGGGCGCTCACCGATCGTTCATACAGAACTCACTCGTTCCGTTGTGCCTTAAGGGCTCTCTCTCGAGCCCAACCAGCAGCCGCACAGCGGCGCATGATACATAGGCAGAATGGCATTACCGACAAAGACAAGGGAGACTGGTTTGCCAGCCATACCCAAGCCCGAAGTGTGGAACACCCGAGCCTCGAACTCGCGGCCTGTTGGTTTAGAAGTCCACGCCTCCAGTCTCCCTTGTCTTTGTCGGTAATGCCATTCTGCCCATATATATATGGTAGGGGATGGTCACCGATCGTTATTACGGAACTCACTCGTTCCGTTGTGCCTTACAGGCTCCTTCTCGAGCCCAACCAGCAGCCGCACAGCGGCGGTAATGCCATTCTGTCTATATCGTGCGTCGCTGTGCGGCTGCTGGTTGGGCCCGAGAAAGAGCCCGTAAGGCACATCGGAATGAGTGAGTTCCGTAATAACGATCGGTTAACCCCCCTAACACTATATATTCCCGATCGAAAACCGACAGGGCAACGATATCGTGGCCCAGTAGTTAGAGGCGCGGACTTCCAACTAACAGGTCTCGAGTTCGAGCCTCGGGTGTTCACACTTCGTGGCTGGGTATGACTGGCTTACGACGGCTAATAAGCCAGAAATAGCCATTCCGCTACTCTGATGATGGAAACGAGGAAGTTTCCGAAACGTCAGTTCGAATACAATATGGTCCATGAATTCGCCCTCTCTACTTCTTCGTCTTCTTCGGGAGATGATGAACGCTATACACATATACAGTACCTGTGCTAACTCATGAAATGCCGAGGTCAAAATTATAGTGGACAATGTAGTGTATTTTTGGTGTCGTTATTTGTGTATATTTGGTTGAAATAAGGACGAAAAGTCCGTTTTCTGAAGGAAAGTTTGATACGGATCTGTATATTAAATAGAAAACGGGCCGGATTAAGGCGAAATCGGAGGATTCCTGATATTCAAGCAGTTTCCTACGCTATTAAAGCTTTCGGATTGAAATTCTTTGTGTAACCTTATTAATCTGTTTAAGGAGATTAATAAAAGGAGGAAATTTTTTGATAAACTGTCGAACAAAAAGAAAAAATTAAATTTCAATATCAACAAAATCAGGGAAATGCAGATAAATTATTTCTTATTGTGTTCAGGAAATAACGTGCGATTCTTCATTTAAAAATTCTATTTTACAAATTCGTAAAGTTTTATGTTTCAAAATACCGAAATAAAAAAGTTTATCAGTGTGATTGTTTTACCAGACTGAAAATGCGTGTCGTAAACGAATATATATTGAGTTCGCGCGACATGCCGTCACTTTGCTCTGCCACGCCAAACGATAACTATGTCTAAACAATACTTATCCGAAGTTGACTTCCAGCGCATTCGAAAATTAGCGGCGGAAGGAATCCCGCGTGAGTCGTTAGCTAATATTTTCAATATTAGCAAGGTCACTCTGTGGCGCATTATTAATGATAAAACTGTTCCTAGAAATAAGATAGGGGGACCAAAACGGTCCACAAGTAAGCAAGACGACGATTTTATTCGTCGTACATTAAAAAAGTTTCATTACATGCCCATTGAGGCCATTCAGCGGGAACATCTGCCGATGTTTTCTATGAACATCATTAGAAAAAGGATGAAGGAATTTGAACTGCAGCGGCGGAAGGCCATGATTAAGCCATGTTTAAGTAGAAAACTAATTAGAGAACGGCTTTTATTTGCTAAGAATTATATTGAATACAGATCTTCATTTTGGAAGAGCATTTTCTTCTGCGATGAGGTTCTATTTTTAGACAAGCCTACGAAGTCGCTCCAAACTGTCATATGTGGAAAGAACTTCCCAAGAGAACATACTACACCGACGGCAACATTCAAGAACTGTCGGCGGATGATGGTTTGGATGGCGATTAAATTCGGTGAGCGGCCTGTCTGGCGGTCAACATCCGACACCATAAACAGCAAGGTGTTCATTGCAATTGTCAAGGATGCTTTCGGCTACAACGGCATAAGTCGGCGCCGAATGGATACTGTAATTTTGCAGGACAATGCACCTGTCCACCGCTCTAAAGAGGTACGAATTTGATGCCGCTTGCAAACATAATCTAACATTTTAGACAACAACCACGCTCTCCGCAGTTGGCCTCCAATGCATTTTCATCCCGGCCAACAGTCCCGACCTCAATCCTATCGAAAATCTTTTTGGAATAGTCAAAAGAAATTGGCACAAAGCTAAGAAGACCCTTTCGATGCAGGAAAAATTGGATTTCATACTCAATAATTACATTTTACAATCCACCATAGATAACCTTGTCATGTCTATGTCGGACAGACTTTCTGCTGTTATTAATTCGAATGGACAATCTACAAAGTACTAATTTTTTGTATCTGTTTCTGTCCTTAATTATTTTTGACCTTTTATGCGCCCTCCTCCTTTATACGTCCTCATACGTAGCCTTTATTAACTTGGTTGTAATATAGGCGTTTCTCGAAAATGTGACTTTTGTCGAAAATTATTTATTTTTATCTCAGTAAATAATATTTTCTTAACCAAACTTTGCTTTATTTCTTTGGCACATCGTTTATTTTCCGCTATCATACTTTGGGAGCCGTAGTGTTTACCGATTTTGCGTTAAAGGCGTTAACCTGTGTTAATTCGTGACATTTCATGAGTTAGCACAGGTACTGTATATATATACAGGACAGTAAAACTATGGTTTACGAGATCGCCTTTTCTTCTGCGGCGAAAAGACGCTCTAGGACTCCCTCCCTGTCCCTTCCTCTCTGCCGCCCTGACTTCATATGTAAGAAAACCCGTTTTGACATGACTGTCACGTCCTCATACGTAGCCTTTATTAACTTGGTTGTAATATAGGCGTTTCTCGAAAATGTGACTTTTGTCGAAAATTATTTATTTTTATCTCAGTAAATAATATTTTCTTAACCAAACTTTGCTTTATTTCTTTGGCACATCGTTTATTTTCCGCTATCAGACGTTGGGAGCCGTAGTGTTTACCGATTTTGCGTTAAAGGCGTTAACCTCTGTTAATTCGTGACATTTCATGAGTTAGCACAGGTATTGTATAAATACTGTGAGGCGCGATACCACACTCACCTTGTTTGCTTTTGAAACGTCAGGACAGTAAAACTATGGTTCCCGAGATCACCTTTTCTTCTCATTTATGTACGGGGACGCGCATTTTCGCATCTATTATTAATATATATAGATATATGGTAGACGGACGCTGAGCGATGTTAGCCATTTTCAATCCTTTGATGCGGACCTCGAATGTGTGCTTTAAACGTCAGAAAAATGCAGTTATTCCAACTGAAATCGAATACTTTTTCGGCCATTCATCAACCACAACCACTAGTGAACTGCCAAGAGCTGCTTGGTCGCCTGTTCTGGAAGCCAGCGACTTGAATCGCAAATGAGACGGAAAAAAATATTCCTAGCCAGAAGGGGTGTAGAATGCTTGCAATTGCAGTAATGTCCAAACCGGCCAATTGCCCTTTTCACCAACTGCTTGCCGTCTATCGCAGTTTTTTCAACCTGAACGAGAGCAATTGCTGACAGTTGTCATGCAGAAATAGTTTGGCGCCCGACTTTTGCGTACGCATTTTCTCGCAAATTGTGGAGTTTTTGGCCTAGCATTTTCTAGATGAGGGAAACAATGTTGCAATTTTTAAACGGATGACTAACTAGTATGAAAATTCATTTCCTTCGAAAGGTGAAGGAGCTAGGTGGTCAAGACGTGGTCCTATTGACGGATACAGAAAGTATTTATCATACGTCCTGCCAGGGAGGGTAAAGAGGAGAAGCAGGAAGGAAAAGGAGGGGGAAGGGGTAGAGGATAGGGCAGAAGAAGAGGGGGGAATGGAGAGGGTGGGGGGGTGAGGAAGAAGAGGAGGAAAAATAAGAGGAAGAAGGAGGGGAGGAGAAGGTGGAGGGGTTGGAGGAGGAGGAAGAGTAGAAAGGCGAGGAGAGCAGACGAGAGGGAGTGGAGGGGGCGGAGGGGGAGAAATAGGAGGGGGAGGGGAGGAGCAGAAGTAGTAAGATGAGGGGGAAAAGAGGAAGTAGGAGGAGCAAGAGAAGGGAGTGAAGGAGGAGGAAGAGGAGGAGGAGGAGGAGGAGGAGGAGGAGGTGAAGGAGGAGGAAAAGAAGGGGAAGGAGGTAGGGGGCTGAAGCAACTGCGCACACTATGGCGAACCATTTCCAGTCTTCTTGAACAAGTAGACTACGAACTAGTCATCGTGAGTTATCTGGAGGATTCCCGGCGGTCACAAGCCCCACACAGCAGCAGCAGCAGCAGCAGCAGCAGCGGCGGCTGCAGAGCTAGAATAATTCTTATCCCAGGTATCCCAACCAACTTTTACTTTTGTTCCTGATTTCATCTGAGCAGGGACTATATGACTGAATTATACTTACACTGAAGTTGCATAAGTGCACTGTTTAGCAAGAACAACCACCTTCCACCCGCCGGTATAACGACAACCTCAGTGATTCTCCGCCCTGTACTGGAGCCCCAGACAATTCTACTTAAAGCAGTCTCCAAGCAGCCCTTCTGCTTCATACACTCAGTCGATTTTGCCTCGAGATGGGGGACGCGATCGCCTGACATTTAGGATTCACTATCGAACATACCATCAGAGGCAGCATCAGATCACGGCACTGAATGTCTGCAGAGTTGTGGTATTTATAAGATACAGTTGGGCAGTCGGTAGCCAGGCCCCGTATTAAAGGTGGTTGGAAGTTTGTTTACTGGGGCTATTTTGTGGGGCTCCGTAATCACATGTGACGCATTTGGCTTCCGTTTTACGGTTGAGGTTAGGATTAGGGTACCGGTTAATAGTTTCCGATTTTCGGGTTAGGGTTATGCATTTAGGCTTAGGTTTTCAGGTCACGGTTAGGGTTTGAGCGTACGATTAGGGTTCAGTATTACGGTTAGGTTTTTCAGTAACGGCTATGTCTAAGGGCTACGGTTACGTTTATGATTTCGGTTAGAGGTAGGGTTGCCGTTAGGGTTAACGGTTAATGTTTAGGGTTGCGTTTAAGGTTAGGGTTAAGGTCGCCGTCCGCTTCCCCATTCCTGGCTACCAACTGCGATCTAACCTAAAGTTGTTACGTCCCTGCAAAACTATTAAAATTGGCGACTTCCAAATTCGTCACAGATGGTCGCACTTGGTGAGATCGCATCTGCCAATTCGCAACTGCTTCCACGAAGTCGCGTTTTCCTTTGTATCGACAAAGTATTACCTCCGCTGAGCGCGAAAATGTCATCTCATCAAGCTGATGCCTTCACACCCGCCCCTTTCTTCAAGGGACGTCTTAAAAAATCGAGCCCTTGGCGCTTTTAGTGCTGAGAGAAATGGAAACTCTCATACGGCGAAAAACAGAGGAGAAAAGTAAGAAAGCAAAAAGAAGGCACAATTTTGGATTTTTTCTGCACTGAAACGATGTCCTTTGGGTCAAACATAAGAGCGGCACAAGCAGCCTGTATGTCAAAACCCGCAAATCAGGCAGACCCTCTTGGCGCTTCCATTCGTCTGTGCTGACACGGGTATAAATGGGATTGGGGGGGGGGAGGAGACTGAAACGTGGTTGGGCAGAAGGAGTCCGCGTCGCGTTCAACTTCGCAAGGTATCAGCTCTCACCTAGTGGGATGGGCCCCGCTCTGGAGAAACTATCCTGCTGAAAGTGCCGTCGAACGGTGACGTTGGCCAGAAGCAAATAATACAGACCGACGACAGAAGATAAAATACACGGGGTACTTGTAAGTTTACCGTTCTTTCGATTTAATAGACCGAGAACCTAATAGGAAGATTATAAATGAGTAGACGAGGAGCGCAATTATTTACGACCCATGGTTGAGTTCTGCTCGCGATGTCGCCGCCTGGAGCTCCGAGAGGAACAACAGTATCTATATCTCGTCTTACAATTAGAATAGGTGGGGTGAAGGCCATTTACATGGTACCCTGAGCCCTCCCGATATCAGCAAAAAGGATGTGGTTCCATAATCAAAGTGGTACAGCATCTGCTTCGATAATTAACTGAATCTGTTTTCGAACATCCGATATTCTCGGCCTGTAAGCAGGCTACTCAGTCGCAAATAGGTTAAAATCTGCGGTGATATAACAAGGGTCTCCCCAGTCATCCAGAATAAATGACTAAAATGACTTAGGTACGACTATCACTCCACATTCGACTTCTAGTCGTCGGAGAAGAGCGTTGATCGCACTCTGCATATCAGCTATCACTGAGCGTTGCGCAGGTAGGAATGCTACATGGGACGTGATCTTAGCCTGATCAAGTTAGTATGCTATCTACAATCTCAGAAAACATCAGCTCCAGGGCAAATGACTTTGGGTACTAAATGTTTACCGGTTTCATAGTCTGCCTTGTCCGCCAGGATCTGTTGCTCACAAAAGGTGACTTGCATCGACCAGGTGTCCACACAGACCTGAGCCAGGTATGCGTACTTAAAGTGGACGGATGACAGGCGAAGCACGCTTTTTCGCAAACTGAAATTAACGGCGGCGTACTTGTCCTCACCAAAGCATGCTTCATGCGGGATTAGAAGACCTGCTTCAAGCAGATTCCGAATTTCCGGGAAAAGCTGACCGAGGAATGATTGTCAAAACATACTCCAGCAGAAACGACCAAAAGACCCAGCTGGGAGACCTTATTGAACAAAGTAAAGGGGTTGAATTCCTCGTATGTAGGGCAAAGAATAATATTTCCTCTGTACCGCTTCTCCACTTGAACTCCGATCTTGCGGTTGCCTCTGACGTCCGAGGCGATTTTTCACTAAACTAACTGAATATCCGTTAGATCGGAATAATTCGTAGCAGTAGGCTAGTTCTCCCTTGAGTAGATACTCGCTGCTACAGTACCCAAAGGCCCGGTGAAAAAGAGTTCGAACGCAGCTTTTTTGTGGGCCGCAGGATGGTCGCTCCTATAGTTGGGAATGATTTCGGCATTGGAGTCTTTGCTGTGGACGCTGGTTGCGAGATCGCCATCACTCAGTCTTTGTACAGTGACGTCGAGAAAAGGAAGAAGTCCCCTGTTGCTTCTTCGCGAGTGAATTGCATGGCGGGGAAGACACCGTTAAGACTCTGGCGCAGTCGTTGAACTTCGCAGTTTTTTTTTATGACTACGGAGGTATCATTTACGTAGCGGAGTCACATCTTTGGTCTGATGGATTGAATAACAGTTTTTTCTTGTCTTTACAAGACTAGTTCGGCGAGTAACCCCGATATCGGTGGACCAATTGAGATGCTCTTGACCTGTTGGTAATACTTGCTATCGAGTTGAAGAAGGAAGAAAGAAGGAATCAAGGAAGAGCCCAAGCATGTCTTAAACGTGCTGTGTTAGAATCCCACTTGGAGTTTCATCTAGGCGTCGGGCTACGCTCTCAATCGCCAAGTTATGTAATATTGAAGAAAACAGAGCAATCAGATCAAACGATAGAATGCATTCATCAGGGCTTACATTAAGGCCTTGGATCCTCTGAAGGAAAGCATGCGAGCTGCTGATGCTGTACTGCCATCCATTAGTGAGGTGCTTTAGGTGCTTGTACAGCCACTTGGCAAGGTTGTAAGTAGGCGATCCAATGAGCGGCACTATGATCCTCAACGTTGCATCTGCTCCGACGAAAAAGCTGACCACATATATAAAGTAGAAAGTTAACGAGCTCACTCAGAAAAAGCTCATAAACTCCGGAGACTCCAAATGTCTGACTCCCAATGGCACTCGTATCGTACGTGCTTATGGCCTCCCAAATGTACACAAAGCAGATGCACCGTTGAGGATCATAGTGCCGCTCATTGGATCGCCTACTTACAACCTTGCCAAGTGACTGTAAAAAAACCTATATATAAGCTTACAAGCACATATACATATGTAAATATATACAGAATGACATAACCGACAGAGACAAGGGAGACTGGAATGGTCATTTCTGGCTTATTAGCCGTTGTCATCCAGTCATAGCCAACCCCGAAACGTGGAACACCCGAGGCTCGAACTCGCGACCTGTTAGTTAGAAGTCCAACTCCCCTAACTCCCCTACACATGTACTGCCTCGCTTGTGCAACAAAAAGCCAAAAGAGTACGCTGGGGGAGGGGGGTAACAAGAATCAGACCAGTTGAGAGAAAATGCAACTTTCAAAAAGTCCAAACTTCGCGTGCTGACAGGGCAAAGGACGCGAAACTGGGTGACACTGCCAGTGGGCGCCGAAAAAGTCATCTGAATGATAATGAAGGTAGGTGATTTATTGTCCTTCTCCTCACTCCTTCCTCCTCCTCCTCCTCCTCCTCCTCCTCCTCCTTGTATGCAGGGCCTGTGAGCGCCTTGCACGGAGGACTACGGACAGGCTGCCGACACCCTGTAATTATTGTTCACCACCACCACC